GTGGGATCTTTGTTGCCCATAAATAAAATTGTATTTGCTGGATTCCCCAAGGTGGGATCCTTTCCACCCATGGAGGGAATTACATATGTTGGATTACCCATGGTGGGATCCTTGCCCCCCACGAAGGCAATTACATATACTGGATTCCCTAGGGTTGGATCTTTGCCACCCATTGAGGCAACTATATATGTTGGATCCCCTAAGGTGGTATCATTTCCACCACTGAGGAAATTATATATGTTAGATCCCTCAAGGTGGGATCCTTGTCACCCACAAAGGAAATTACATATGCTGGATTCCCCGAGGTTGGGTCGTTGCTGCCCACAAAAGCAACAAAGAAAAAACAGATCCCCTAGAAGAGGATCCTAGCCTCCCATATGCATGAATAAAATGACGAATTCCTATGGATAAGGAATTCTCATTGTCTTAGAAGCGGCCATAGCTACATACATTTTAATATTAATGCAAAACAACATAACAGTTTGCACTAAAAATAATTGATATAAAGACACCCACACAGAGATGTCATTATTTAAAATAATTACGAAATCCCCCGAAGTGATTAACAATTTTAAAATATTATAGCCAATATGAGGGAGAAAGGAAAAGAATTCACTATTCGTCACCAAATCCCCATCCAGAACCACCTTAAACAGGTCCAGAGGGTTTAAATCCAAATTGGTATGGAGGAGGGACACCTGTCTACTTGCCTCCTCAAAATGATGAACAGAGGCCGCCACCGCGTCATTCATTGATAACGTGAAATTATATCGTTTATTTCGACTCGATTCGCATGCAATTTAATATCGTTTTACTTGTTTTTCATATTATTATGTCGCATTATGTTTGTGTTTCAGGTATTTGTTGAATAAGAGCGAATGTGCGAGAAAATTGAGAAAAGAGCGAAGAAATGAAGAAAAAGTGCATAATATGTCATTTTATCGTACATGGTGTTCGCCATGGACCTAATGGCATTTTACATGCACCTAATCTACGTGATCAACAAATTAAAGCTAATGGTGTTCGTCATTAGCCTAATGGCGGTCGCCATTCAGTTCAGAAACGTGAAAGTAACCACCCACTACAACATTACTTTGGAGGTTACTCCCACTTTCTCTATGACTCATACATTCTCTATGGAAGTTATTAAAGGAAATTCCTCCCATAAATAGACCTTAGATTCTCAATTTCCAGTATCCATATTTTTTACGCGGAAGCGTTGTTCGCAGTTTTAGGCAGAAATCATTATAAAAGTGGTCATTTTCTCACATCGAGGAACTAGCACACCAATAGTGTTTAGGCCTACAATCTATGTAATGCTTGGATCAATCTTTCCTTCAATTTAATTTCAGTTCTTATTTCAGGTTCATTTAGATTCATTGCATTTATTTTCCTGCCTTTAATTTCTGACATTTACTTTTACGCTTTATTTTTCTGTCATTGTTACTGTTTCAAGTTTCCACCTCTTTCTGCAAACATCGCTTTAAAATATTTTAAACCACACATTATGTTTTTAGTTAATTCAAAAACCCAAAATTGTTTATTTGTTTCCGCAACCATGTCTGGCTAAACTTGTCTGAGTCCGACGTATGAGGATCGTCGTTACCAACGTGACTCGGTAGAAAATAATAGGCGCGAAACCATAATAAATTCTGTTTTAGTTTTAGTTTCCAATTGTATGTCTTAAAGATTTGTCACGAGAGTGAAAAGCATACTAAGGTTCGAGCCGACAGCGCGAGTGTGTGAAGATTGAACTGGATAGTGGAAATAGGCATCGATTCTAAAAACAGCGAGAGCGCTTTAGGTATCGATTAGGATCTAATTGATTTTTCAAAATACGCTTTTTTATTAAAATGGCGAGCGAGAGAAAAATCTCATGGTTAGGGAGCGCGACTTTAGTCAATACTGCGAGAGTGTGAGACATAGTCGTTAAGTCAATATTTTCTACAAACCATAGTCTTACTTCAATTAGTGCCTATAATTTACAGAGTCCCTGAGGTACACAGAATCCATATTCCGACATCTCTTTATTGATATATTTCCTAAATCTTAATTTAGTTTTAATTCTAGTTTTAGTTTCCCCAAATTCATATTTAATTAGCCTTAGCTTTACATCGCAACAATAAATAACGGTAGGTTGACATTGGTCTCTGTGGGTTCGACAATCTTTTATATTACTTCGATATTTCCGTGCACTTGCGAACGCATCATTCATAAGATAAGAAAATCACTCTGCCGTGCTTTCGAGAGCGCTCTGAGCTTCCTCAAGCAAATTTCTAAAATCCCCCACCTCTACTTGATGAACACACGCCTTAGCGGCCACACCCTCGACAAGCACCTTCAGATCATCCCTCCTTACCTTCATCTGTTTCAACGTCAACCCACCTTCTCGTGCACGCTTGTTCAGGCTAAGCACCCTAAATTGCATTCTCCCAAGGTATCAGAGAGTTTATCCCTTAAGAATTTCTCTACCAAGAAATATCTCATATGTTTGGTCTCCAAGAAAGTTGATAGTTGGAAAGGATACAGGTCAAAAATCCTTTGACAATCACCTGGAAAGTTCCTAGCTAAGGAAAAGAATTGATCATCAAAAGCCATTGTGTCGAAAGTATGGTTCCTCCATAAAGAAGGTTCAGAGGGAGTCCCAACATCCTCCAATCTCTTTGCCTTGGATCCTGCCTCTTGGCTTGTCGATGATGCAAAAGAACCATCTTCCCTCATAGGAATCCTGGGAGGGAGAATCTCGACCTCCTGAAAAGTTTCACCCTGCACCATATCTTGTTTGTCAGCAATGCCGCGAGTAAAAGTTTACATTCCCCGCTGATGGGTCGTCTGCATCTTCACTAGGCGCTCCAATTGCTCATTAAGGGGAACCAACATCATCTCACCTGCACATAACTGACCATTAGAGAATGACTATATTGTGAAACAAAAATAAAAAGAATTTATCCTTACCTAGATACCCATTCACTTTGTGACCGTATTCACAGTCTCGAGCGATGAGATGTTGGATTCCATGAAGCTTAGACACTCCAGGACCTGAATCACTTCATGACCCAAAAGAGAAAGGAATCATAACCCCGAAATCATAGATAATAGGGAGGTGAAGGTAGAAGTAAATAGTATATGGATCACAAGAAGTGTCTATGCATGTCTTCTCATTCTTAAAGCAATGATCCATAAAGACATCTCTCTCTCTCTCTCTCTCTCTCTCTCTCTCTCTCTCTCTCTCTCTCTCTCTCTCTCTCTCTCTCTCTCTCTCTCTCTCTCTCTCTCTCTCTCTCTCTCTCTCTCTCTCTCTCTCTCTCTCGTCCTGTGCTGAAAAAAATGATGTCGTGATGAAACTTGTCCATCATGTTGACGGTAGAATACAAAGAGGTTATGACTTGCACGTGGATGAATGTGGTTTTTCTCACCATGGTCGATGAAAGTAAAGGTACAAGAAAATGAAGTATGATGTAGAAAGTTTTTGAAAAGAAGGAAGAAGAGGTGAATCAATGCTTCAAAAAATATAGAGAAAACCCAAAGAAGTTGGCTCACACGTTCGTCTAATAGGTTGGCACCAGAAGCGAGAAAGTCCTCACGCTTGAATGCATCTTGTGAATACAGGAAACTAATTTTTCTTCTCGAGAAATACCATCATGAGGTACATTAAATGCTACCCGCCCTCTTCCCCTCAAACACTCAATTCGGAGAAAATGACTGAGGTTTGGATATCTCGACACATCACCTCAAAACAGACATGTTTCCCCACGAGCTCGTACGCCCTTTCGTTGAGGTACCCGCTTATCATTTTACCCGTCCACCCGGTGAGGGACTCGCCTATGCGGGGAGCGTCACCTAGTAAAATCTTTATCAGATAAGAGAATCATCGACAAGGTAAGGAGCGTGTTCCAAAAAGGAAAGTAGTTTTAAACACTTCTCCTCTTAGAAGAAAGTTAGCGTACTTGAGGGAATGTGTAGTGTTATATTTGGTAAATCCCTAGATTAGGACGTCATCGCCTAACAATTGACCCCTAGATTAAATCCAATGGAGTCGCCGAAGAGGTCCCAACAACAAGGAAATCAAGCCAGTGAAAGTCTTCGTTCACTCCGAGAAGATAGACGGACAATAACCTCACCTAAAAAGAGGGGAGAGGTTAATACCACGTTCAAAAGGTAAAAATCCTAAGCGGCGGAGACTCATATAAATAGTGTATCCCTCAAGGGTATAAGGGAATTCTCAAGGCATACACATTTACCACTACTTAAAGAACACTACGTTCCTCGTAGCCTTAACACACCATCAACCTAACCGTCTGCATGCAACCCACCGTTGTCGACCACCAACAGTGTCTCTCACCTAGGTGAGTTGGTCCCTTAAACAACTTCAAAAACCACCATACAAAGTTTCTCGCCGTCGTGAGCAAATCCTTACAACCCAAATTATAATACACCTAAAAAGGTCTCTGAACCCCCTGCTCTTGCTGAGGAAACACGCACCATATACTTTTTGACCAATACAATATTATGACTATTCATTGTTTTTTTTTATAAATTTTAAAAATTTTGAGTCAAATTTAAATTTTAAAAAATAAAGACCAATTTACAATTTTGAAAATATAAAAAGATTAATTTGTAAAATTTGAAAATTATTGGTGACTAATTTGTAATCATTAAATATTTTAGGATCATTTTGGAAATTTGAAAAAAAAAATTACTTTTATAAATTTTAAAAGTTTTAGGTCTAATTCAAAATTAAAGATAAAATAAAATTACCAAAGTAGATGAAAAAAGAGAGTAGGACAGAAATATATTGTACATTAATATTAATGAATTTAATTTTAAGACATTATCAACACACCTTTAAAAAAAATACATCTGTATAATGAAAAACCACATTCATGGATACACACTCAATAATAATGAAAATCAAAATCAAAAAATACAATTTTGGATTAGATAGATTTTTCTGAAGATTATTTTGTCTCTAGATGATATATAAATATGACACTTTCTTCTTAATGAAACAGCACACATGCCCAAATGAGAATTATGAAATTGAGTCCAGTTAAAGTAATCTTGTATGCTCCTCCTTCATCACTTCCAGGTGTTGCTGCAAATTGATAAAAACTCAGTATTATTGGTAAAACTCTCCGTGTTATATACTGTAACAATATAAACTTATGAGACATTTTACCTGGAGGTTTCACCAATGAAGGAGAAAGAGCCGGAGAAGAAGCTGCAATTTTCCAAAAAGAATTAAATAAAGATCAGATATATTCGTTATTCAATAAGAACTCGATGAATATATACCTTTGCAGGAAGTGACATCGAACTCGACGCCGCAAGCACGAACAACTTGGATAGCCTGATCAAGTTGAACACCAAAACCTTCGAGTAATCCAGGAGTCGCAAGTTGACAGAAACATGTTTCATGTGATGTGTGATACATATCTTGAATTGGGTTGCAGCAAATGTCTGGTGGGTTGGTGGAGTTTAGGTAATCCATGCATGGTAATATCTGATCAGCACAAGGTGGAGCTGTTTGCGCATGTACTAAACTAATCACCATCATGCTAATCACTACCATAATACACATAACTCTGTAATTATCCATTTAGTTCACAAACTAATGATACGATTACACCTTAATTAATTCTGTTGCACTATATTTTTCCAATGTTGATGTGTTGTTATATATATAGTTCCCATTGCCTCACTGGAAACGTTTATTTTTATACTTGAATATATTATAATAAATCAGAAGGTGACTCTTTCAAGTAAGATTAGCAAAGCAAAGGAATTAATGTATGGAGCTATTTGGAGAGATTCTCTACCATCAGGAATATATTCTTACTTTGTCTCTATATGTCTTTATAACAACATTACATTGTCCTAGTAGAATTCATGGACTTTCGAGTTGATAAAAATATAGAAACAGAATACTAACGAGTAACAATTGCAATGACTAAAATCAATTCTCATAAAAACTTCATTTATCAACTTAAGAGATACATAAACTCTGGTGTTTGAAAATAAAATGTGTCAAAGATAAATGATATAAATATATATTGATGGTTAGAACACGTTTTCTCATACTTAGAAGTTGAATGTCTCTCCGTTTAAGTCCAACCAAGAGAAAAAACCCAATCAAATCCGCTCTTGCATATTTCCATCTCTTCCAACCATACACAAACATTTGTTGGTATAATTGTCAATTTTTCCTCTTATAATATTTCGGTCTGCCAAAATATATCAAATAAAATATCCTTATAATTAGGTCATGTCGGTATTTGAAGTCTGAAAGTTTCTTAAAATGAAATACATGTTTCTTAAATGTACACGTCTTACAACAAACAGAGTAAATTTCATCAATAAAAAATAAATGAATCATAAGGTGATATTTAAAGATAGTACAATAGTCTACAAGTGACATGTGTTGGCATAACCCATCAATAGAAATGACTAGGAGAAAATTCTGAGCATTTGTTGATTGTAAACAACCAAAAACTATTTTCTATTTTGTTGTCATATCAAACTTTACGTTCATGTTCCAAACACTTTTGCTAAAAAAGACACTCACTAAAATGTGTTTTGCTTTAGAAGGGACGGTGTCCTTGTTAGTAAAATTATTATGATCAAAATCTGAAATCGCAGCTCTAAGATTATTCAAATCTCTGTCGAAATTAGGTTTTATGTCATATATTTCATTGTCTATCGATATATAATCATGTAACATCAAGATATCAAGTATAAAGAAGAAGTTTACGATTGTCTTTAATTCAGTGAATGTAACATAAAAGCAGAAAGGAACGGCCTCAATATGTCATTCACTCAAGTTGATGACACACTATGTTAACCTCTAAAATACAATCTCACTGTCTAACCAAAAATACTCAACCCCCCCAAAAAAAATAGACAGACATTTTACCCTTGTCTAGCACAAAAGGGCAGATCAACCTATCATGTTGAAATCATTAAAAAGAATCTACTGTCAACATAATTTTATACTGACCAAGAATTACTAGTTTGATAAAAAAATAGATGTTGACATTTGGTCCATTCAAAACATGGTTGGATATATTGAGGCATTGATTGGTTCAAACCAAATGATAAAGAGACTAGTTTTGACGTGCGTACCAAACATGAAAAGTTGTATAAGAGCATTATGTTGTTAATTTTCCAACATGGATTAGTCAACTTGTTAATTAGTGATGAACCTTATCATCTTTTATTGGCTAGTTGTTAGATGGACAGAACATGTCATGGAGGATATTCTAAATTAATTTCTATAGGCTAAGTTTGGTGGAATCAAATTGAGGATATAATAAAATATATAATTGGTCAAATGAATTATAAAGTTTTTATAAATACAACAAAAAAAATAAAAAATGAATTGGTATACAATTATTAACCTCTACATGGGCATATGTGTTTAATCTATTCTTAGCTGGCTCAACAATTGTACGATGAAACATTGATTGTTAATGAGAGAAGAGTAAAGCTGAAAGTAGGTAGGAAGAGGCAGAAATGGTGAATCTAAGACAAACATGGTTGGTTACTTGTCTTGACTGATTGAGTTTCATCGATCATTGATGAAGTTTAGCGGTCCATTCATACACAAGTCTAATAACAAACTATAAGGAATGAAAATTTACAAAGGTGAATTTAAAAATAAGATGAGTTTCAGCAGATTTGGGTTGAAAAATTAGAAAGAGAAAATTTTATTATGCAGAAATTAAAATTAAAATTAATTATTTTAATAACTTTTTTTATCTGCAACAGAAATTTCCACTTTTAATAAAATTAATGGTATCCAGTGCATTTGCACAGGTACTAATATTTAATTGTCACCATTTATTTAAATTTTTAGAGAAAATATATATATAGCAGTGAAAAGAATACGAAGAATATTCTTATTAATCAATAATGATTAGAAAATGTGTTATATATAAATACGGTAAAGCTTGTAATATATATATATATATATATATATATATATATATATATATATATATATATATATATATATATATATATATATATATATATATATATATATATATATATATATATATATATATATATATATATATATATATATATATATATATATATATATATATATATATATATATATATATATATATATATATATAATCACGAATAAAGTAATAAATAGATAATTAGTTGAAAATAAAAATAATTAATATTTAAAAAAAAAAAAACACAATTATTTACAAATGTATTAATATCTAGCAAAATATAAATGGTCTTTTAAACAAATGGTCATTTAAATTTTCTAATAAAATATCAGCGTCTACGCACAAGTATTGAAATGACAAATGTATTTGATTTTAAAATGTAATAAAAGTGAAATGAAACAAAGACGAATTTGCTTAACTCAAGAAGTTTATTATTTTTAAAAGAGTTTATATTTGGATCATAAATATAATTTTTTATATATAAAAATATTTGAATCAACAATATACTTTTTTCGTATATAAATATTATTTTTCTTTTGACATTATTTATAAAAGTATGATTCATAAATTATACTACCATGGAATTAGATTCTGAACGATTGGCGGATCTCTATTCTAAATCAACTCCTTTTGCAATAAAGTTGGATATAATTCCGTGTAGGTAATAGGAATTGGGTCAAATCGAGCCTTCCTAGGAGAACGGGCTTGCTGATTCCGATTAGACTGTTGATAGGTTTGAACAACAAGAGTTAGACTAACCCACCAGAGTAACTGCGGTAATATGAGGTTGTTGATAATACTGCTGTTGAGATTGGTTCTGTTGACTACCTCTGTTTCTGGGTCTTCGTTGCCTCCCCCCTTGAGAAATAGCATTGGTATATCCCCCTCTTTCTTCTTTTGGAAACAGTTATCATACTTCTTCGTTCTGCCTAACGAACTCGATTCTTTTGTCAAACGACCCACTCTGACACATTTTTCTAATCTGACTCTCATGCCCACCATTTCGCTGAAGTCATTTGGAGCGCTAGAAACCATTCTCTCATAATAGAAAGAACTCAAAGTCTTGAGAAACTTCTTCGTCATTTCCTTTTCCTCCATCGAAGGGCTAATATGAGCAGCCACTTCACGCCACCTCTGAGCGTACTCTTTGAATGATTCCTCATCCTTCTATGACATGGCACAAAGCTGGTCACGATCAGGAGCCACGTCCAAAATATACTCGTATTGACGTACAACGCCTCTGCAAGATCATTGAAAGAACTGGTATGAGCACTGTCCAACCCCATATACCACTTCAAAGTTACACCAATCAAACTGTCTTGAAAATAATGGATCAACAACTTGTCATCATCAGTGTGAGTAGTCATCTTCTGACAATATATAGTTAAGTGACTCTGAGGACATGAGTTACCCTTGTACTTTTCAAAGTCAGGGACCTTGAATTTGACACAGATCTTGACATTAGGTACTAAGCACAAATCAAAAGCATTCTTACCAAACAGATATCCCCCCTTCATAACTTTCAATTTTTTCTGCAATTCTCGAAATTGATCCTGGAACTCATCCATTCTCTCATACACATCCAGATTCTTACTAGGAGCAGTATGGAAAATAGGGTCCTCTACTTGTGGCACAATATGCACAACTGGAGGAGTGGTAGCCATTATCGGTTGAATTGGAGGAAACCGACTCACCAAAGGAGCCTCGGTAGCAGGGTTGAAATTATCTGGCACAAAGTTGGGAGGCATCCCCCAAGGATAACCATCATGCATCTGATTTTGACGTGGAGGTCCAGTAGGCACAGTAGATACAATAGGAGTTATTGTAATCACATAGATAACAGTAACTTGAGATTGAGACAGAGGCAGAGGTTGATTCTGATCTATCACCAAGGATTCCAACAAAGTAGTCATTTTGTCCATTCATGTCTTTAATGAATTCACTTCCTCACGAAGTTCCCTCTGTTCTTGCTTAATTTTCTCTATCTTTCATCTTGAATTGGCCTGAGTATGTACCAGTGTGTCAGGTGTCTTATACGAAGACAGAGGAAAGCGAATGAGACTCCGAAAGACTAGCAGAAAACAAGACCAAATGATGCGTGAAATGTATGTGCAAATGATTGTTAGGTTTTCAAGTAACCAAGGAATTATAGACGTATTGCAAACATCATAAGTAATACTACATTAAGAGAAAAACTTGAATCTTCATTTCATTGAAATATCTAGAAGGATTACAACTTCAGTACATAATTTCAAAGCAATCCTAAACAAAAGACATAAACGAAGGCCTAACATCCGAGGGAACCACAACGAAAGCAATATATTCTTGAGCTTCCTAATCTGAGCTTCAAAAGTAATCTTCATCTGAGCCTTTTCTTTCAAGATATTGTCAATAACACCTTTACAGGCGCCGGACCTAGGCTTTTGCTCTCTCTTTCTTTTCTTTCCATGGTGTTCAAGCATATCATCTTTCTCTTTCAATTGACTTTTCAACTCTAATTTCTCAGCATTTGAAACATGAAACTTGCTCTCCCAAGCATCTCTTTATTGCTTCATCTGAGGTAAAGCAACTTGGAGTCCTTTCATATCTATAACTAGAACAACAATGGATCCTATAACTTTAGGGAACATAG